CGTTGGCAGCTCGACGGGTTGGGAACACCCACGCGAATGAAACGTGCATTTTTAATATGACCATTGGCTACATAAATCAATCATATTCACATTAGTCTGACTGCTGTTGAATCACACTGTAAGGGAGAATGTCTTCGAGTCACCCTCATAGCAACCCGGCTCTACAGAATGAGTGGTCCAGGCGAACTTTCCAGACCTACTGCCACACCCATAAAGCCCTCCATACCCTACGGTTATGAAAGTCAAATTTTGAATCTTCCGGTGAACACGCCAGCATACCCATTATCAAAGCTAAGTGCTATCTCAGTCAGCCCAATCTAACTTCTCCCGAGTAGCATTTGTGCCTTTAAAAAATGACCAAGTTCTTGAGTCAAACTCTCAGCCTGGAGTTCTCTTAAGTTCCTGCAGTTGGGAACATACACAGAAGCCAAACCGTTATCCGCTGTGCATGTTAAGGTCTACTCAAGTTCAGAGCTGATCGAACCATGAGAATTCAATTAGATGTATTTTTGAGGAATTGTCGCTCGATGTTCCGAAAAATTTACTATCTCCATGTGAGGGACGGATACTTCAAGTAACTAGACTTCGAAATACACTTAGGCATCAATTAGACCTGTCAAAAATAAGGTAAGTGAAGGTAAGATAGGCTAGGTCAAATTAAATTTAGGTCAGAATCAGACTCACTGTAACTCATGTCGATGCAGCAATTCTACGTTGATTCAAACTCAGCTTAACTCACTCCTAGTTTTGTAGACCTAACATTTTCTCAAACCCCATCAAACTAAACGTAATTTTTCGAGAATTATATAAAAAAATCTCAAAACTGGCCTGAGCGCCTCGATGAGTCCTGCATTGCTTCGTTGTAATTGCTGTGATGGAATAATTTCCATGATACGTAGTGGCATAAGCTGTTGCATAGATAATCGTCTACTGAATCCTTTGAGTTTAGCAGTCGAATTGAAATTGTCGGTCGATATCAACTGATCGTCTTCTTCTTTTGATACCTTGTCGTCTTTCATGTCAAATGTTGTAAAATTTGTCGCTCGATCGAAAGAAATCCTAAAAACGAGACGGCAGGTGATTATGCATGGACGAATAACATACGAAAGCAAAAATGACACCAGATGAAACATCTGAATTCAAAATATATTAAAATCCTGAAGCAAGTTCTCATTTGCTATAGTCAATTGAGTCAGAACTGCTCACCATTATGTTGTCGATTATGTCGTGCGTGCGAGAATAAACGGAATTTGAGGCCATATAATGGAAGTTTGAACTGCGTTGTACCATGCACGATATAAAACAATCGCAATGCACTGACATACCGCACAAAGCACACACAAGCATTGAAAATGATATGAATGAAAGTATGAAGAAAATGAACAATTGAAATGCATGATCGTGTGCGAGATCAATATCGATCAAAACGCTGCACTGAGGCAGTGATCACTGCTGATCGTTCTGAGCGGCAATTCCGTTTCTTACTCGATTTGATCGACACTGGTAGATAGTAAATAGATTAGTTGGTAGCCTGCGTTCCATTCAATGCTTTCTGCATCGACTGATTTGCAACATCATGGAATTGTACGGGTTACTGAAATAATCCAGCAGGAATATTTGTGACCTAAAATTAGCCGAATGTGTAGGGATACTGGCACAATGCGATCACTAAACTATGGGCGATTTATCCGAAAATCAAGTCGTGTTCATTGAACGAGTCGACAATACGTATTTACGCAGTGTGTTCCGCACTCGACTGTAATGTCGAATTGTAAATTATATGTTCGAATGTAAGGTCGGACTATCAGATTCAACAGATCCTGAAAAAATCTGAAATCTTGCACTAGGTTCATTCATGCTTGAACAATATTGTAGTATGCCAAGCTCATTTTCAATCCAAGATAATGAGGTCGTTATACTCACATATTCTTTGCATTGAGAATTGATAACTGTTCTGTTCTTTCCGCAAGAAGTGTGTGTTTGGATTTCTGAAAATACTCTTCAAATCTCTAAGAAAGGGAACGGAAGTCTCTACGATACCTCAAATAGTGAGCAGTAACTCGAATAGTTTATGTGAAATGAAGACTCAATGAAATGTGTACACATCATATTTGTTTTAGGCTACGAACGAGATAATCTGCTCGAGTGTTCGTTCGTTTGCGTTGCTGTGTGTTCATCTTTCAGTGCATTTTTTGGATATTTTGGGTGTTTACGAAAAAATATGTACAACGTACGGCCAGCTAGTTGATGTTGAGCACTATAAGACGTTATAGCATAGTTTGATGTTGATGTTGCTGAAATAGCAGTTTTAGTGCAATTCGATAACAACACCTGGCATCGCTCGAGCACCGTCTTATCGCAATTTCACTTACTTTCTATAACGTTCACTGAGAACTTCCTTTACTACCCATATGCTCTTCAATGCTTTTTCACTTGCCATTCTTCACTTCTTATCAGTTTCCATCCTTATAGCAGTTATCAAAATTCTCGTTCGTTTTCATAATTTTCATTTCAATTCACTTTTTGCAACATCTAATGCGGTTCCTCTTATTTTACTCTAATTAGTTTGATCAATATTACTAACGTTAGTCTCTTGTATATTGATATTTGAGTATCGCCTTTATCATTTCCATGGTTCCATGTATTCTTAAAACTGACTGGATAATACCCACTCAGTGTTTTCTAAATTCCTTGCAATATATGATTGTCATCCTTTCATTCAAGCATATTTTTCCAAACCTTTTCGAGAAATTGGATAACTCCTTCATAATGTTTTTTGGTGATGGTAACCGACCGAAAATTTGCTTCGGTCTAATTCCAGTGTAGTCCTTTCTCACAACTACATTGAATAAGGTCCGAATTCCTCATTTAGAATCTGATCATATTTATTTACGCAGCTCCAAATTTCGATAGATATCAAAAATAAGAAAAATTGCCGGAATCGGAACTTGGTCAGTTTATTCGCATTGAAATTCGGTCTGGATTCCGACCGAACTTCGGATATTTCGTCGAGCACTGTCATACTCGTTGATATACCTTTAATGTATCGAAGATATCATCCATACTGATCTACTTATACATAGCGAACGAGTTTTTCTTTCCGATGAATAAAATCTTCCTTTCTGTATCTTCGTTGCTATATTCAACAATCAGAGGTAATCGTACAACTTCATTAAAATCTTTAAGAAGCAATGTTCAAATTGTTTATGAAAGTTTATTTGCTGGATACGTAACTTTTCAACTTAAGTGCAGATCGTTCATTGCGAGCGAGCTTTTTCGCCGAAGCATTCTTATAATTTCTCTCAAATTTATTTGGATTTCTAATGGGAGAGTTAAGTGCAAACGATTGTATTGCCTCTATACGGCTTGTTTAACACGATCACATTTGCTTCGGAAAATTGCAGCGAAAATAATTCATTGCAATGCGAAAACTTTGAAAATGAATTCTCCAATTGTATTCCTTATACTTCCGTTCAAAAAAAGCTCCTCAACTATTAGAAAAATTTCTCTCGAAATTTATGGAACCCATAAATTTTTCAAACAAACTTATACCTACATAAGTTTTACTCACATTGGTTGACATTTTTGTTTGTGTCATTACTATTGCTTTTATCCCTTCGATTATCAGTATTATTTTTGCTATGGTTAATAATGATCTCAGCGATCAATTTTTTTATCACCATCAGTGCTATGTGCTAATAATGAAATTGTTATCATTAATTTCTCAGATAGGTGTAAATTTGTTGGATGTTCGGATCAGTGTACCCATAGGAGTTTCGTAACCGCATCAGGAGGTGTAATAAAATGAGTGCAAAAAGCAACCAATCAATTATTTCAACAAACACAAAAGTTCATACAGCCACTTTCTTACTGCTCAAATATTTTGCTTATGGCTTGTGAATGAGTTGAATTTCGCACGACGACGTGCAGTGCGGCTTTTGAAATTGAAAATTTTTTCATCTTTCTGTATTAAGCTCACCTTTCGATTCTGCTAACTTGTAACTGCTGTTTGGTTCAGGAAAAACAAATTGAACATTCGTTCCAGTGCTGCTTCGAACACAACTAATGTGGTGCTATGCATTCTTATTGCAAAAACAGTCGGTTTGAATTCACCACACTTTCCATGTATGTGTTCCGTCTCGATGCAAAACGTTCATGTTTGCTAATACATCGTTTTACCCATATGCTGTTATGAAAGCTCAATTTATAGAGGCGTATCATCGAAGTGCGAAGGAGTAAACCTGCGATTCGACATTAACTCAGATCAACATTGTATTTCGTATCCGTTTCAGCTCCCAGCAATTTCTCTCAAATTTCCACGAACTAATTCCTTCGGGAAGGTAAATCTCTCTTTTTCAGTACTCAAACTTACATATTTTTCGCCTTTTTTTTCAGACAACACATTTCCAATTTTCCTGTAATACAAAACTTTCTCTGCGATAACAATTTTTGTTGTTATCATCCCAGACTCATCGTTATGATATTTGTGCTAAAATGCTTAGCTTTCTGATTTCGATTTTTTAAAATCCATTAGTCGATAATGTTTCATAAGCAACAAAATATGCCACTTATTGGCCTTTAAGCCGCATTGATATAATTTTTTTTCAGTCAAATACCGTACTCAAGAACTAATCAAAGCATTCGATCAAATTGACGATGGATCAAACTGATGTGCAATTCAGCGAATCAACGCCATCCTATTGGCCTCCAGATGTCCATATTGAACAGCAGCAAATGAATGAACATCATCAGCCAGATGGACAATATTCTCAAATGGTAGAACTGAAAGCGGACATCAGTTTACTGCAACAACAAAGTCGAATGCATCCCGCAGAATCTCAGAGTATTTCAGCTGACCAAGTACAGTCACAAGAGGAACAGCAACAATTTCAAAATCGAAACGATCGCCCAACATCCACCGATATTGATCAGCCGAAACGAGACCAAAAGGAAAAGTGTTCGAGCGGCGAGATTCAACCGGGATCTCCTCTGGCATCACTGCTATCATCTGCATACGAGGCAGCTGATGCGGCATTACGTGAAATTGATAATGATTTGGTGAGCGAAAATTTTGGAATTATGACATCGCCTGACTCCCCATTTGGCGGTGAGTGCAGAGATAAATTAAATGGGCCTGGTCATGGAGTTGAACGTTCATGGGCAACTGAAGGACGTGATGAAGAGCCAGCATTGCCTGAGAAGAGAGCTGAACGAACAACTGAAAATGATCTCGTTGAGCGTGACGAAGTGCAACAGATTAATCATTCACTTGAAGCTGTGCTAGGAACAGATCAAGAGCTGGTGTTCGAAAAACAGCATATTCCAGGACCATCTGAAGAGCAATTTGAAGCGAAAAATAAAATGATCGGCCGAAAATTCCCAATTCCAACGCAAAATATACTCGAGGAAATCGTCTATTTCCAAGAATCCGTTCCTGAAGCCGATACCCATTCGGATCACCGACAAGCTTCAACATCTGAAGATGTCACCGAACTTGAAGAACTGTCATTTCGTCCCGTGGAAAAGTTAGATGAAACAAGAATACAACAGAAATGCGTACAAAAGAATCCTGTGAGTATATCGGAACCCATTTTTGGAGCCAGTGCCTCCGAAAATTACCAGCAAATTAACGGGAACGAGAAATCAAATAGTGACAAGAAACTTGAAAACTCCGGAGCCGGTCTAGTCCAAGAAGAGATTAAAAATGGTGAAATTACTGAAGCAAAAGAAACTGATTTCGAAACCAAGGTGGATGGAACATCGTCGGTGATCAATGAAAACCGTTTGGCTGAAGTCGAGCAAATCGTCAAAATGCAAAAAACTCAACAAGCTAAAGCTGATATTGAGAGCAATATTGCAACTCTCCACAGTGAAGCTGTTGCCAGTTGTCTATGTGAATCAGCTGAAAACCACAAAGTGTGTGAAAAAATTCCCAGCAGCGATGAATTGCAAGATTCGGCCGTAACTGACGAGAAATCCCCCCCGAATAAGCCTGCAACAAATGGGAAGGCAATGGAAATTTCATCCAATCCAAAATATACGAATGGATCAACAGGACTGAATTCTGATGAAAAGGCGACTCAGCAAGTTAGCAGCGTTAAACGGTCAAGAATCTCAGCTTCCAATAAAGTCACGAATGGAATGACTGCAAAAAAGGGTCCTAGCAAGGTTGATGGAGCCATGAAAAAGTTACAAGCTCCGGCTGTTCCACCAAAACCCAAAACAACGTTGAAAAATCCAGGAATGGAAGATAAGCTGATTTCATTAAGTAAACGTACTACCACCAACAGCAAGATTGTTAATGTGGGACCCAAAAAAAGCGAGCCAGAGAAGAGATTACCCCCTCAAAAATCGTCCATTTCCACAGCTACGCCCAAAAAGACCAGTAGCGGAGCAGAACCATCGTTGAGAGCCCCGCCAGCTAGTCGCGGTAATCCAGTCAGTACAGATAGTTCTCCAACCAAGCAAAAACCAGAAGCATCATCTAATCGACCGAGTAATAAACCATCCGCACCAAGCAAATCTGTAAAGACCATCAGCGCTACAGCGGGTAAGTCAGAATTGCAAGTGGAGAACTACAAGCCCAAACCTTCGAAGGCAACCGCAAGAGATAATCCAAGTGAATCGCAAGCCAGCTTCTCGCAAAAATCATTTGAACTCACAAACAAAACTGTTGTCGAGAAGCATGAAGACATTGCGTTCGCTACGGATTCCAAGCTTGAATCTGATGAAACGACCGAACCAGTGGTTCGCCACCAGGTACAAGAGGTTGTCCGTGCTCGAGACCCAATCGTCTGGATAGAAACTTTGGTACCCATATTGGAAACTATATTTACTTACGCTGATCACGGCAAATTGGTAAACGGTTCTGGAGAATTATTAACTGTTGATGAGGAAAGTGTACGGAACGAAATGAACCAAGAATGTATGACTGAAAAAACTGAAAATTTCAAGAGAGATGAAGAATCAAATGGTCGAATGTCGTCCGATCAAACGCTCATTGAGGCTACTGAATGTATTCATCCGTCAGAAATGATACCAACATCCTCTACGCCTTCAGAAATTATTGAACAGCCTGAACTGATCATTCCGCCAACTTCAGTCTCTGATGCACCTGAAAATGTGGTTCATAACTCTGTCAACGACTTTCCAGAAGAACCAACGTCAAGTGTTCAGCTGATTGAGAAAAACATCGACATGACTGAAACAGACACGAAAAATTTTCCAGATTTTGTCTCTCCATTTGAAGCAGAACCTGAAATTTTGTCAGATGTCAGGTCACCAGTCGATGAGTTGCCAGTAGATCGGTCACATCCGGCAGAACTTCCATCATGTCTTTCTGAACCTTCAACAATACCAGATATCGGGACTAGTGAATCAGAGAAGCCTGATGAACCGAAAAATCGAGTTAGTGAATTACTGGAACCGGTGATAACAAAAACAGAAATGCTCGACCATTCACCAGTTGAAACAGTTGCCGATCTGAATGTGGATCATTCAGTAGCTGACACTGTGCTCAAAGAATTGCCAGTGCAAACACCTGATCAAATTGTGCAACCTGACGACCATAAGAACGATGCAATCCAAGAAATCGATCCACATTATGATGCAAATGTAGGAGTAACTACTACGGCAGATTACGCAGCTGGAAAGATGCCTGATGAAGCTTCAAATGCTCACCATGAGCCAACAACGGAAAAAATTTCTTCATCTGAAAGCAATGGTCAACCCCGATCAAAATTACAAAGTATCGTGATAAGTTCCATTGTGCCTCCAGATCCAGACCATGTGCAGCAGCAAACAGAGCAGCAGAAACGACGAGAAGAAGCTTGTGGAAATGGACAAGCCGACGAATCTCAGAAGCAGTCATTATCAGGCACCACAACACCTCAAAAGCCACGACAGCATGGTCGTGGACAGTTTAGGGGTATGGTCGTTGACAGCATGACATCCGAACAAGACGACTGGTACCAGTCGAGAGGTGGGGAGAGGCAGAATGGTAACAGCAAGCAAAAACAGTACCATTCGAACGAGGGCGGGGATTACAGCAGTCATGGTGGGACCCAAGGTCAGTCCCAACAGCAGCAACATCAACGTAAATCCAAACGAAGATCTAAAAAATCTGGCAAATCTCATAGAGGTGGATATCGGGCTGAGTGAGAGGATAATTCAGAATATCTGGACATATTGGCAGATCTTATCATATTTTTTTGAGCCGCTCATCTAACGTGATCCCATCCCACCAGCGTCTGTGTGTCTTATTTCTTGTTATTGTTGTTATGAGATTATAACACTGATAATGTTATTCTGTTACTATATTGTTATACTTATGTTTATTGCGATTACATTATGATCCCGACCTTTACAACAGTTGTTATTATTTCTTCTTTAATCAGTACTATATTCTATTTTACGTCTTCGTGCAAACTGTTCGATAGAAAGCTTTAACATCTACATGCACGTTTTGCGGAAACACGTCTTAAATGTAATAATGATATTGCTGAAAGTTTCATGCTTTGAAAAATATTTGATCTGCTCGACGAGCAATCAGTAATTTCGAAATTCCAAGCATTAGTGATTGCTTTGAATGGTTAATTGCTCTTTTTTTGTGTCTCATTGACGTACACTTTAATGCTTTGTTTGTTTATATAAAATTTTATTGCGAAATGCATCAGGTTATATTCAAATGCAAAAATTGCCATCAGAATCAACGGCTGCAATATGGTTGAAATACATATCTGTGAAAGGAAAATGGCACTGAAGGAAGTGTGCAATTTGAGTTCAATGAAAAACTGGTCATTCTGCATTTTTCCAGAGAAAACTATATCCGCTACTGAAAACAGTAGTAGTTCATACGAGATAGGATAGGATCAAGATAAAGTTCCATGCTGAATGAAAACGACGATGATGTCGTACATTGATAATGATAATAATACGATAATGAAGGTCACAACGGGCAGTACTCAGAGGCCACTGAAAGATCATACTGAAGGTCACAGTGACGATGATTTCGTCGTTTAATGATGTAATACTGAAAGTCTGAAGATCACATATAGTACATATTTGTAACATACAGGTAATTAACAGCTTCATTTCCAGTTTGAACGTCTGACTAGAAATCAACATATCATGCCGTACACTGAAAGATTTTGAGTGATATTTTCAAATTTCTTGTTCACATTTTCAGAGCAATTCATTATTTTGTTAAGATTGGCATCTCGACGTTTCGAACGTTATTTAATCATCAAACTGTCGAAATGAAACCAAGTAAACAAGTTAATAATTCTCAATGCAAATTGTTAACGAGAGTGATTACAAGTTCTTCAATATCATTGCATGCAAACAAATTCATTCTCTGAAAAAT